ACAACCACAACAAAAACAACAACAACAACAACAACAACAACAACAACAACAACAACAACAACAACTCTCACGACACAACAACAACAAAACAACAAACAAATCCACACCTCTTGGGGCGATTCTGCACCTCCTTCTCCTCCTCCTCCTCCTCCTTCACCTTGTTGTACCTCCGCACAGCTGACATTCTCCGGCTTTTGGCGATCCTCTCATCCCTGTCTTCCACGTAGTCTTCTCCGTATACGAACTGGAGGGCGATCTCTGAAAACAAAAATGAAGAAATGCTATGTGTTTAATGCCCCCTTCAATTTCATAACACATATGGAGAGTTCGCTCTGCCTCCACCATCCATGAAGATCCTCTTTTTAATCTTTGGCGTACTTGGTTTCCTATTTTCGGATGTAGAGGGTGACGTTCGTCTGCTGTTACTCGAAGGTAGGCCTTGACTTGTGCTAGCTTGTGTCGGTGGGTTAACGTTGGCAGGTCCAGCAGATATCTCATCGCTGATGCTGCTGTGTCACGGGTACATCCCAGAACAGTTCTCATTCCTTCATTTTGAATTACTTCGAGGCGATGTAGCTGGGTTTTGGATAGGGTGAGCATACCCAGGCCATAGTCCACTACAGACAGTACAACCGCTTGAAGCATGATCATCATAAGGGCGCGTTGGGGCATAGATGCAGCCATTACTCTCAGTGCAACAAGTCCTTTCCTTGCTCTGGTGATAATGTTAGTCACATGGTCTTTTGCCGAGAGAGTGCGGTCAAAGGTAATGCGCAGGTACTTCAATCTCTCTTGCCTTTCCAACTGCGTACCTTGTATATTGACAGTAGGCATGATAGCCTTGACTGCCCTGTTGTTGTCCACAGTACCCTGCCTTCGCTGGATTAAGTTTTCCATTGTTCTGTTCGCACCATTCACCAATTCGATCCAATTCCTCCTTCGTGCTCCTTGCAATCAGCTCTCTCCCCTGCCTATATACCGATCTTTCCCATGCCTATATACCTATCTCTCCCCTGCCTATATACCGATCTCTCCCCTGCCTATATACCGATCTCTCCCCTGCCTATATACCGATCTCTCCCCTGCCTATATACCAATACATCATCTGCAAAGCTTAGCGTACGGCCAGGTCCCTCTAATAGATTGGCTGTAAGACTGATGGTGTATATAATATATGTGAAGCGTGCTGACGAAATGAGTTACTTCCCAGATTCAAAACGTATATGGAAAAAGATATAGACCTATCACGCTTATAGATGAAGTTTTTTAAACTAATTTATTAGTAGGGCAGATATGGAATAATAACAGACATGTTATAGTTAAAGAATATGGCATTAATTTTTTTTAAACTCTACAAATTTGACCCTTGTGTCGATTTTTGGCCAATATCTCCATTTTGTTGATTGCGAGAAGTAACTCATTTTGTCAGCAAGCTTCACATATCAAAGAGGTTGCGGCGTGTGAGCACATTATGGCTGTCTGCAGGTCTCTGAATAATATGTGATATGTAGGTGTGGTATTCTTTTGTCTGTCTATCTGTCTATTTGTCTTTCTGTCTTTATTTATCGCAAGGGATATACTACAGACAGACAGACAGACAGACAGACAGACAGACAGACAGACAGACAGACAGACAGACAGACAGACAGACAGACAGACAAACAGACAGACAGACAGACAGACAGACCAACAAAGAAAGAAAGAGAGAGATCAACAGACAAAGAGACGGACAGACAAACACACAGGCAGGGAGGGGAAAAGACGTAGAGAGGAGAGAGAGAGAGAGAGAGAGAGAGAGAGAGAGAGAGAGAGAGAGAGAGAGAGAGAGAGAGAGAGAGAGAGAGAGAGAGAGAGAGAGAGAGAAACAGACAGACAGACAGACAGACAGAGACACAGACAGGGGCACAGACAGAGACACAGACAGAGACACAGACAGAGACACAGACAGACAGACAGACAGACAGACAGACAGACAGACAGACAGACAGACAGACAGACAGACAGCTCCCTTCTTCAACATTCCATTTTTTTAAAAAATTATGTTCTCCATACCTTTTATAGAACGGGATAAAAACTTTGTTGGAATACAACTTAATCTTTTTCTTTCCTGCGGGCGATGCCACTTTCTGATTCTCGGAACTGTCAATTATGGGCAAGAAACTTCCTCCTCGTTCCTTGTTGTCGGACAACCGGTCTTTTTCCTGGAGTGGGTGGATTGAGGGCGCTGTAGGTCTCCCGGCCATGTCTCTCGTCGTTCAGAACAGCTGCGGGGAAGAAGAGCATAGTGTAACTGTGAGGCAGCGTGGTGGAATCAGGCTCTCGTCAAAATAATCAAAGTGAACAAACGTGCATTTTCTCGCAAGTTTATGAATTTTCATTAAATTTTTGGTTTCTTTAGCTCAATTCCTTTAATGCCCATGAAAGAACTCATTTCTGTGTGGATTTTTCTGAAAAACCTTAATTAAAGGGGCACAAACTGTAAATGTTCAGTTACCATGGACTCTTAAACTAAGGAAATAACTAATCTTTGGCGGCCATTTTCTCACTAATTTTACCTCTGAAAACAGGTGACCCCCACCTCCTTCTTTTGTAAATATCTCGACTTGTATTTAAGATAAATGGATACTTTTTTCATCCATCCAAATAAAGACAACTGAACAAGCTTTAAGATGAAATCAATAACTCTACATGCCCAAAAATTTACAAGAGCCTGATTCCACCACGCTGCCTCACAGTGTATAGTAAGCCTACAGTCTAATACGGGGTGCCCACTACGACTGGATCGGGCCAATCGCCCGACTTGATCGCCTGAAACTGAAAACAGACACGTTTGTTTTTGAGGCGATCGAGTCGGAGCGATCGGCCGATCCCCATCCGTAGTGGGCACCCCGCATAACATGCACTATAATATTGATGAGACTTCCAACACAATCCGTGTGACCGTTCCTGAGTTTTTATTGCATTCTAGATCTATATTTTTATCGAACGCGTTGCCATGTGCAGGCTCACAGCGTGACTGTGTTTATCATAGATGTGTTAATACAATACAATATACATTATTAGGCACAAAATTAAACGTTTTACCTACTCACATATTATGCCCATTAATTTTAAACGAGGGGCTCTCGTGGCCTAGAGGTTAAGGTGTTGGCCTCCCATTCAAAGGTCCCGGGTTCGAATCCGGGTAGCGACCAAAAAATTTTCTTCTCTAAAATTGTCTCCTTTCACCTCCTTTCCTGCTCTCTAGCAATGTTCTGTTGTCTGCTTTCATTTCTACTTTCTTCCCCCACCCCATCACCTCCTTTGCCCCCTCCTCTGGGCTCCTGACTCTTTCTGCAGCCTTCCTACTGCTACTCCTTGGCTCCTCCTTACTGCTGTCTTTCTACCCCACCCCTGATCTTCTGGTAGGAAAGATCTACACCTAGACAAGGGCGAAAAATCTCGGAAGGCCCGTGTGCAAGTTGCGCACGTTAAAGATCCCATGGTGGTCTAAAATCGATAAGAGTAGGTTTCGGCCGTAACCCGGGCAAAATTCAAAATGTCCTACCAACTGAAAATGTTAGGTGTGTCCCGCGCGCTCATATGACCTGATGCAGTTGCGAGCGCCGTAAAACACTTTACAAAAACAAAAACAAAAAGACTACTAGATCTAGATCTAGATCTAGTTACACAACAAGGTTCATTTTTTAAAGAATAATCTTCAAAAGTGAACCAAACACGGGAGACGACTTCCGTAACGAGTGACCACTATAAGACGGAGCAGAATAGAGGGCTTGGGGTAGGGGTAGATCTAGGGGGAGGGGTAGGGGGAGGGGTAGGGCAAGGGTTAGGGTTTGGATCAGGGTTAAGGTTAGGGTTAGGGTGGGGCCTCTTCTTTATTGTGTTTGATGGGGTGGTCGTTGTTACGGAAGTCTTCCCAAAACACTATCAATATACCACTGATTTGATTTTCAACTATTACCAATTTTAAGTGTCGTAAGAACTGTAATTCTTAGCATTTGTGTGCTAAAGTGGTCGTCTCGAAACTCTCTTACACTTACAGCCAACATGCACACGTTTTTATCTTCACCAGTTGAAAGCAATCATGTTCATTTTGGAGTGCACCTAGAGGATTTCCCGAAAATATTCACTCTCATCAAATAATGGCGTGATAAATGCAAAACATATATTATTAACACTGTTGCTTTTGTTGTTGTAGTTGCTGCTGCTGTTGTTGTTGTTGTTGTTGTTGATGTTGTTGTTGTTGTTGTTGTTGTTGTTGTTGTTGTTGTTGTTGTTGATGATGATGATGATGTATATGTATGATCAATAATATGCAGGTCACACTACCACCACACTTAGAGCTAGGTTTAATAACCATAGGTATTCAGTTCAGTCATCATCATCCAGTGCCAGATCTGCGACAGACATCGGCGATCATGATTTTCCATTCATTCCTTTGCTCGGATGCTCTCAGAAAAGCTACGACGTTTCCCTGATCTTTCCCTGTTATCCATTTGTTTAGGTTCCCTAAGTATGTTGTTCTGGACCTACCCCTGCCTCGCTTGCCCTTAATTTTGCCAGTGAGAGCTAGTTGTTCAAGACCCTTATGTCTATCAGGTGTCCCAAAAACTGCATTTGTCGTTTCCTGATTGTTTTTAACAGTGAGCGTCCCTCGTGGGCTTCATCAAGCACTACTTCATTTGATTTCTTTTCCTTTCACGATACTCTTAACCGTCTCCAAAGAAAGCACATTTCTGTTGCCTCTATTTTATTTTCACACAGTCTTTAGTGATTGTCCAGCATTCACAGCCATATAGAAGGGTTGACCAAACATAGCATTTCAGGACTTTCATTTTGGTGTTCATTGATAATATGTTTCTATTTTTCAGGATTGGGCTCATTTAGGTATTCAGTTAAAAAAAACAACCTCAACTCCTGCACACCAGTTGGCCAACATTTCAACATTCCTGGTCACAATGGAGCCTCCGATTTGCAGCTTCAGGGTATTGAAATAGTCCAATATCCAACTAAAGAAAAACTCAACCAAAGAGAATCAATGTGGATTTGAAACTTGGGGTCTCAAAAAATTATCACTGGTCTTAACGTCAACGAGCCACAATGTGTGTGTGTGTGTGTGTGTGTGTGTGTGTGTGTGTGTGTGTGTGTATGGCCTCGTGATGATTTAAGGGGCAACGAATAAGTTAGTTTTTCCCTGTTGCGCCAATCTGTGATCCCAAGAAAAGAATTCTCGCTAAGGCCGCCGCCCCAGCAGAACCTACTCGTAAAAAATATTATTATTATTA